GATCACACCACAGCACTCCAGCCTGGGCAACAGAGCAAGGCCCCATCTTTAAAAAGGAAAATACACTTATGAATGTACTTAATGCCACCTAGAAATGGTAAAAAAAAAAAAAAAAAAAAAAAGGTAAGTTTTATGTTACATCCATTTTACCACCATAAAAAGAAAAGAAGAAAAGAAGAAAACATATAATAATGTTAATTTACTCTGTGGGAAAGGGCTTCTCCAACCTTCCCACCTAAACAGCCTCTTCCCACCCAAGCCTGTCCTCTTCCTGGATGTACTGGGCTCAGAAGCCAAGAGTGCGTTCCTAGGAGGCCTCAGCAGACACCGCTGTGGAATCCAGAACTGCCATCTGCCTTATCAAAACCCACTTTAAGCCGGGCGCGGTGGCTCACGCCTGTAATCCCAGCACTTTGGGAGGCCAAGGCGGGTAGATCACCTGAGGTCAGGAGTTTGAGACCAGCCTGGCTAACATGATGAAACCCCATCTCTACTAAAAATACAAAAATTAGCCAGGCGAGGTGGCGGACGCCTGTAGTCCCAGCTACTCGGGAGGCTGAGGCAGGAGAATGGCTCGAATCCAAGCAGGCAGAGGTTGCAGTGAGCGGAGATCGCACCACTGCACTCCAGCCTAGATGACAGAGCAAGACTTCGTCTACAAAAAAAATCAAACACCCACTTTAAACAAGCCTTATTCAGACTATCTTTCATTTCTAACTTGTAGTTCCCTCTCCACAATCTTTGCTACTTGAGGGGATTACAATTTGGTTAAAAATAAATTCTTGGCCGAGAGCAGGCGCTTATGCCTATAATCCCAACACTTTGGAAGGCTGAGGTGGGAGGATTGCTTGAGCCCAGGAGTTCGAGACCAGCCTGGCAACATAGCAAGACCCCATCTCTACAAAAAATCAAAATGTCATCAGGCTTGTTGGTGTACCTCTATAGTCCCAGCTCCTCAGGAGCCTGAGTCAGGATTGCTTGAGCCTAGAAGTTAGAGGCTGAAGTGAGCTATGACTGTTATCACTCCAGCCTGGGCAACAGAGTGAGGTCCTGTCTCAAAAATAAATAAATAAATGAAAAGTACCGTGCCTTGAAGAGTCTCCTAAGAAAATGGCATCTGCAGTTTGCGTAGCGGGAAGCCTACTCTACAAAACAAAGTACAAAGCATGTGTTTGCCGAGCTGGCTGAGATGCTGCCGGTACGAGTGTTTGTATGTTACATACTACACTAGGTTGAAGAGCGTCCCCCACAGTGCATGTCCTCAAGATGTGACCTCATTTGGAAACAGGGTCTTTGCAGATGTAATTAGTAAAGATGAGGTGATATGGATTAGAGTGGGCCCAAAATCCAAGGTGACTGGTGCCTGTATAAGGAGAGAGGACGGCTGGGCACGGTGGCTCATGCCTGTAATCCCAGCACTTTGGGAGGCTGAGGAGGGCGGATCACCTGAGGTCCAGAGTTCAAGGCCAGCCTGGCCAAGATGGTGAAACCCCATCTTTACTAAAAATACAAAAATTAGCTGGGTGTGGTGGTGGGCACCTGTAGTCCCAGCTACTTGGGAGGCTGAGGCAGGAGAATCACTTGAACCCCAGAGGCGGAGGTTGCAGTGAGCTGAGATCGCGCCATCGCACTCCAGCTTGGGTGACAAGAGCGAGACTCTGTCTCAAAAAAAAGAAGAAAAAGAAGGAGAGAGGACACATGGAGGAGAAAGACACAGAGGGGACAAGGCCATGTGATGATGGATGCAGAGACCGGAGTGATGATGCTGCAGGCCGAGGACACCCGGACCTCCAGACTGCTGTGAGGAGGCCAGGGAGGATCCTCCCCTTGGTCCCGCAGAGGGAGCGCAGCCCTGCCAGCACCTTGATTTTGGAGTTCCAGCCTCCAGAGCTGTGAGAATACATCTGTGTTTTTTTCAGCCACCCAGTCTGTGGTCACTTGTGACAGCAGCCATGGGAAACTACTACATGTGTTTATTCATGACCCAGCACTTCCTCTTTGTGCTTCATACCCAGCGAAAGTAAAAGCTGATTCTGGCGTGGCAGGCAGCACCCTACTGCCGCTGCCGAGAGGGGAGCGGCTTTTTCAGTTCCACCCTCCCATGACCCCTGCCAACTGCACACCTCGCCCTTTATCCACGGACTCCACTTTTTGAGAATAAATCTCTTCTTCCTCTTCTTCCTCTGCAGACAGGACAGGTATCTCATCTTTATGGCCACATAAATGGGAAGAAAATATAAAACGTAATTGTTCTCTGCACGAAACACCTGATATATTTGCTTTCTGTGGAGCCAAGGGGTTGAGATGTGGCCCACAGGAGACTCGTTAGGTTACAGAGTATTCCTTACTGGAGCCGGCTTTCAGTGACAGCCAAGGAGGTTTGTGCAAATTCTGCCAAGAGACAAAGGATACAGAAATGATCAGAGTTACCACCAGCCTAGAAGAAATATAAACAACCAAGAAGCATAAGAGGCTCCTGGGTTCACCACACTATGAATGCATTTAACACCCTAAACTGTACATTTCAAAATTGTTAAGATGTAAATTGCAGGTCATGTGTATGTTGCCACAATTTAAAAGCTGAAGGAGGCCAGGCGCAGTGGCTCATGCCTGTAACCCCAGCACTTTGGGAGGCTGAGATAGGTGGATCACTTGAGATCGGGAGCTCGAGACCAGCCTGGTCAACATGGTGAAACCCCGTCTCTATTAAAAATACAAAAAAATTAGCTGGGTGTGGTGGCGCATGCCTGTAATCCCAGCTACCCAGGAGGCTGAGGCAGGAGAATCACTTGAGCCCAAGAGGTGGAGGCTGCAGTGAGCCGAGATCGTGCCACTGCACTCCAGCCTGGGAGATAGAGTGAGGCTCTGTCTCAAAAAGAAAAGAAAAGAAAAGAAAAAACTGAAGGGAAAAAAGGAGATTCAACTACGCTAACATTTACATAAATTAGAGTAAGGAAGTGCATCTACTTTTCTTCTATGGAATTGGCAAAAATCTAAAAAATGGCCAATATTGAATGTCGGGGAGGCTGCTGGCAAACAGGCGTCTCATCCACCACCACTGGCTGTGGACCAACAGGACCTACTCAAATTGTAAAAGACCATACTTGCTACAGATGCATTTCATTTTTATAAATCTATCCTCCAGAAATACACAAAGTATGTAAGGCTAGACGGACATTGTTCCATTGTTTGTAGAATGAATACTCTGAAAAGTTAAGTGTCTATTAATTATACAATGGATGAGTAGAATATGGTACATCTATGTATTTAAAATCTATCAAATTAGGTAGAACTGTAGGTATTGACACGAAAAAATAGCCAAGACATGTGGTGGAGGGAGAGGTCACAAAATAATATGTATATATAGTATGATATTTACAGTTTTTGGAACTCTCTATATCCATATATTATCATTATAGAGAGAAATATAGATTGTAGATAGAACAAGGATAGAGAGATATAGATGACAAGTAGGTAGGAAGGTAGGTAGGCTGATTAATTGATCTCAACAGCCCTGACCTTATGCCTAGACAGACAGAGATAGATAGATGGATAGATAAAGAGGTAGATAGACAGATGTATAGATAGAGAGAGATAGACATATAGGTAGGTAGGTAGGTAGGTAGGTAGATAAATTGGTAGATAATTGATAGATGGATAGATAGATGATAGGTAAATGATAGGTAGACAGACACACAGATAGATTGGTCAGGCGGTAGATGAGAGAGAGAGATGTATAGTAATTAGGTAGGTAGACAGGAGACAGAGAGAGAGATGTATAGGTAAGTAGGTAGACAGGATATAGATAGAGGTATAGATAGATAGATGTATAGGTAGGTAGGTAGGTAGGTAGATAGCTAGATAGATAGATAGATAGAGACAGATGTATAGGTAAGTAGGTAGATAGGTAGGTAGAGAGACAGATGTATATATAGAGAGATAGATGTATAGGTACGTAGGTAGATAAATTCATAGATAATTGATAGATGGATAGACAGATGATAGGTGAATGATAGGTAGATAGACACACAGATAGATTGGTCAGTTGGTAGACAGATAACAGAGAGAAATAGATGTATAGGTAATTAGGTAGGTGACAGGAGAGAGAGAAATAGATGAATAGGTAGGTAGATAGGAGATAGATAGATAGATGTATAGATACATGTACAGATAACTGGGTAGGTAGGCAGGAGAGAAATAGATGTATAGGTAGGTAGGTAGACAGGAGATAGATGGATGTATAGATAGATGTATAGATAATTAGGTAGGTAG